CATTTTGGGCAAAAATGACCACATATTTAAACTACATATTGTTTTTTTTTGTTGTTTAACCTCAAGTTATTTGTTTCTTTATAGAAGTTGGTGAGGACCACATTATTGTTATTTAGGCCCTGATAAATAAAATCATAGAATTGAAGGAGGGTGTACTTTCTTTTTCCCCATGACTGTAAATCTTCCTTAGGATTTTGGGCCTGAAATGCCAGTTAAGAAAACAGACTACACTGAAAAAAAAGTTCACTGAATTTAATTAATTCATATGGGTATGTTGGTTTCATGTGAATGAATGAACACAATTTGTGTTTGTACAGCCAACATGATTTGATCATGTATTTTCAAAGCCCTGGAATAAAATCAAACTGCATACTCACCCGAACTCAGGATCAAACCCAAGACCCTGGCATTGTGAGGCAGCAACGTTACCCACAACGTGGGAGATATTTTAACGTAATTTAACGTAATTGGATCAAGTTAATACTACGTGAATTGATCACACTTACTCTAAATAATTCAAACTAGTAGATTAGACACTTGTTTAAATTATATCTAATTATATAAGCAATGAATTCACATTTTGATGAGAAATTTAATATTTTTCTGTAAAGCATACATAATGTTTTCTTGTAAATCTGACCGACCACATATTCCTTTTTTTCAGTGTACCTTCCCGCAATATATGGTGATTACCTAACTTGGATAAAGTAATACTTTACGGGACGGTGAAGCATAGCCAGGGGGTCCGTGAGTTTTTCATCTTTTTATGGTGGGGGAAATCAAAACACACCACTGTCAAAGTTATTATATTTATTATTGAGTTCTTACAATTATTAGCTGTACCTATTACTGTTTTCCTGGCCAATCGAATGCATTTTACCAAACCTTAAAAACTCAAAAACAAGTATCACCTTAGAAGTAATATGTTCTGTCAGTGGATACTTCCAGAATAAAAAGCTCTATGGCTCTAATAAATAGACAGAATTTTATTGTACATTTTTGAATAATGAGATGAATATTTGAATAGTTGTGTTCATTAAAAAAAACGGTGCTGAGGAGGTCTGTAGAATATATTTTACTGTTAATGGGGTCCCTGGCTGCAAAAAGTTTGAAAACCCCTACTTTAGACTTATAATATCAAACACATTAACAAACAATTACATTATAATGTATATAATAGAAATCCTTTTTCAAACTTCAGTTTTTATTGATATTGAGCTATTCTACTAGTCCAGATGCAAACGTGCGATAACCAGCAAATCAGCAGCAGGAAATGGCACGAACGAAAACATCTCACCCACCTCTTGACAGCATGAACTCGGGCAAAACACTGACTGCTTACAGGTTAAAGTAAGGCTACGATTCCTGATTCAACTTGAAAGAAAAAGTATGAACTCTTAAATGTACTTAAAGAATTAAAGTAAAAATGCAAGAAAGATTCACACATTCAAACATCAGTGATTTTAGTTACTTATGGTAAATTAGTGTTCCTTTCACCAACAAACTTTTTCTAAGGTTAACTAACAATTCCTTATCTCTCAAACATTAGCTAGCATGATAATAACTTGGATGATACGAAACAGCTGAATGCTAATAGCTAGCTGTGACAATACAAGCTGCATTGATGAATAAAGTACCACTAATAGATTACAGTGATGGGTTTTAGGTCTCATTCACTTTCACATCTGTTAAAATTTGGACTTGATAGGAGTTTAGATTGATTCCTTGAAGCTGTATGATTCCAAAAAGTCACATTATGACTTGACAAATTCATGACAAATGTAGTGATGTGTTTAGAAATCTAGTGATAAGAAATTGGAGATTTTTCTTCTGAAATGTATTAAGTAAAAGACAAGACAATGGTATGAGGTGAACGAAAAACTTGAGTACAGCTACATAAAAATCAAATTACATGACAATACATAGAGAGAGCTCTTACCTGCACAGTTGGAGACTGATACACTCTATCAGGAGTGGTGTCTATCAGCTCCTCTTCGTCTGAGGTAGCTCGCTTGTAGGATGACATCTGGAAGGTTAAACGGAGAAGAGATTCCCTCAGTGCCTCCATATTAAAACCAGGCCCTCACTGTTCACTGTGTGTGTTTGTGTGTGTTTTTAGCTGCTGTAGTCTGTGAGAATCCTTGGGATTGAGGTTCTCCTAGGATCCATCAGGAGGAGTCCAGATAAGGACTCCTGCAACAAACTCGAGCAATCTCTGTCTTCAGCATGTGAAAGTGTGTGGGGTCGCTTCCTTCACCTCCCCCACCTCCTGATAACTCTTCCTCTGAGCCCAAAGATTCACCTTTTCTCCCCCACAGTTCATAAACTCTCCCTCAGGTTTAAATTCCAAAGCACTGTCAGAAATACCCCTGCGTTGGGAGCATGATATGCTCTACCATGTGTTGTTCAGCAATTCTGTGGCTTTAACTTTCTCCCAGTAAGTTTTGACAGTCCATATTGGGCAAGACGCTCACAAAAAAAAAAACGGAAGAAGACTTGATCAACTTGTATGTGTGTGTTAAAAAAATAAGGGTGTGTGAGTATGTGTGGTTCAGAAATGACTGAGAGAGAGAAAGAGGAAGAGAGCACATGCATTCCATAGTGTGGTTTCATTTAGAACAGGGAGGGAACTTTTAGAGGTTCATCTCCGCCCAGTGTTTCCTTCTCCTAAGACATTCCAGGCCAAAGGGGCGGTGTTTAAAAAAAACAAAAAAACAAGGGCACTCCCACTCCAAGGTCCTGTTGTTACTGTTACCCAATAGGTTTGACAGAACCGTGCTACCCTGACGCTTTCAATAAACAATCAGTAAAAACTGTAATCAGCACCATTGCTTCAGTTATTTAGAAACAAAAGAATTATGGTCTTCAACCACATTATATCAATTTGTTCTGAAAGAGCTGAAAAAGAAACATAAATATAACTCTAAAGACTCTTCAATTGCAGTACCTGTTGAGTTACATTTTTGCCTTAGAATATCTGTCTCCAGCTGTTCTTGTACATCGTAAAATATGCAAGCAGACTCAATATCAGTAAGGTACAGCACTGGATTTCTATTCATTCTTCTATTATTATCAAATTCACACTTACTCTCGCTTATGCTGCCTCTACAGTTCTTCTGTGGCAGCTATTCCCCGAAGGCCAAGCCTCTGTGGTCTCGATGCCACTCAATTTCTTTGAGTGTACTACTCAGGACAAAACCTCAGCCAGTTAAAATCTTTACCACAGTCCAGCCCTTAGTCACAGAAACTGCTATGTTTTGTTCAAAATCTCAATTCAGAAAGAGCTAAACCCAGCCCACTACTGATAAGCATTTGGTTTGTTCAGCAGTGGCATTGCCCACATCAACTGCTTATGACGTGAAAAGGGCAAAACACAGTCATGTTTGGGTGGATATGTGCGCAGATGGAGGAAAGGTGGTGTGTGAGGCGAGAAGGACTCACAAAAAAAGCTGACTCCTTGGGAGACAGTGAGCTCTGCAGGAATGGCAAATTATATGGTGGATATGTCTTTTGAGTTATTACAAAAGAAAAAAAAATAGGCTACAATGATGAATCCTTGATTCAGAATGAGAAAGATGCTGCTACTTTTTGCAGTTATTAAGATGAACACTTAATTCTAAGTGAAACATAATTGGACAAATCATCATTTACACAAATATGGCCTAACCCTAGGATAGCTGGCACAGTGGCACAGACTTTACTCTTGCCTCCTCACAGCTAATTCATTCTTGGAGCTGAATTATCAGGACAGAACAAGAATCAAACCCAGATGCCAAACAACTGCCAAACTTTCTGCCTCAAGTACCCATAGGCTTAGGAGCCTTTACATTCTTTGCATGTACACCAGCTTACGGTATTCACTGGTACAAGCTCCTCAGGCATTTGTTCCAAGTGCACATATTCATGTTTGGACTCTTTCCTAGCAAACCCTCTGGCAGCAGAGAAGATGTGGTTTTGGGCAGACTAGATCATAGCTGCATGCAAACACCACTCAAATAAAATATGAAATAAAACTTCAATTTTACTTTGCTAGATAGCCAGAAGCATTTATAAAGTGGCTCCACCTCGCCTCAGAACCAGGTGTATCCTGTCTGATGCTTCAGGAAAAAAAAAAAAAAAAAAAAAAAGAGTGTCTATCCAGCTGCATCGGAACAAGAGGCAAGTAGGGGTCAGATGAACAATAATCCAGAGGTGTGATGCCAACAGCAGTGAAGATGCGCCCATGTCCTTTCTCACAGTTATATTAAAACAGTCATAGTGGGTTTAGTAATGATGTGCGCTAAACTTTCACGATGATTAAACATTTAAAAGGTTCATATTTAACCATTTGTTCACTGCTGCCATGTGATTACTAAACAAATATTTAATCAATCTGAAACAAAAAATGTAATTTATAAGATAATTCATCAGTAGTCACTCTATCCTGATCAGGGTCACAGTGGATCTGGAGTCTATCCCGTGGACATGAGATTGAAACACACCCTGGGTCTCACGCTAGTCCATCGCAGGGCACAACATCCTTTTTGTGTGCCACGTCATCAGAGCATTCATTTCAGCACTACAAATGCACGGTGAGAAGTGACTAAATTACATTTAACGAATAAACTAAATTAAGCCTTTATTTTATATAATCATGACTATTAAACAGTGCTGAACACTCACCAAAGAAATACTGTAGCAATTCCTGTTTGCTGCACAGAGCAGCCAAAAATTCAAAATACAGGACTAGTGATTGAGCAGGTTTTTCTAAGATACTTATTTAGAACAACTCTGTGATGAGTGCACAGACCTAAATGGTCTCAAAAGTGCTGCAATGGGTTCTTCAAACCTATCTTTAAGCTCAAATCTGATGGGTGGCATCAATGTATCGATAATTTATATGTTTTTCGATAAAAACATCTGCCAATTCAAGGCAACTATCCCTACTCACGGTCACCAGGTTTTTAGTCACACACACCTCTTTACATTCAGTATACACTCACTACATACTCTGGACTGTTGCAATCGTGGCCTAATGGTTAGAGTCTCGGACTTGTAACCTGAAGGTCGTGGGTTCGAGTCTCAGGTCCGGCAGGGATTGTAGGTGGGGGGAGTGAATGACCAGCGCTCTCTCACACCCTCAATACCACGACTGAGGTGAGACCCTTGAGCAAGGCACCGAACCCCCAACTGCTCCCTGGGCGCTGCAGCAAAAAAGGCTGCCCACTGCTCCGGGTGTGTGTGTGTGTGTGTGTGCACTTGGATGGGTTAAATGCAGAGCACAAATTCCGAGTATGGGTCACCATACTTGGCTACACGTCACTCTACTCTAAATCTACTCTAAAATCTACTCCTTCTCCAGTTCCCTAGAAGTTCACCATGTCAAGGGAGGTTACTGGAAAATCATTTGTTCATGAAAGCATGAACTCCATGTAAGCCGAGTTGCATTTCTAGAGAACATTATCAGTAGAGACGGCGTCTTAATGGACAACTCTAAAGTTTGTACTGACACAGAACGGCCAACTTTACAAACTTCCAGAGGTTTCTACGTTTTGCCAGATTTTAGAGATGTTTTTAGAGATGTTTGTAACTGTGTACAGTGGCACAGCATTAGCAGTGCTGGCTCATAGCTGTAGGGTTCCTGCTTTGTGGAAAAAAAAAAAATTACATCATAAAAAAAATAAACATCCACTAGTGTAAATAGATCATAAGAACCTTGAATACTTGCAAAACAGCTAATGCCTTGACAAACACTGACCCTTTTCTCTTCCTGATTTTGCATTCCAGACATACTATCCTTCCGGAGTTATGTGTTCTAGCGGCCATTGGGACATCAAACTTATGTTCCCCCAATGCCATGAGAATCTCATCATGTGGACTTCTTCCTTGATGATTATCTTCTAATTTATTTACCACTGGCTCCATGTTCTCCATGCTTGGGTGATTTTTATGATTTCTATGTGCACATGGTAAAAGTTTGTTTACAATTTTCCATTGCTGTATTTCTAACCAATGAATAAAGGTGTTTTTTATGAGTATATTTTCAGCAGTACACACCCCTCACACTTTTTTTTTTTGCTTAATTAAGTGCAGTGGGAAAACAAAATAAATCAAATAGCAAATGAAGTATCGAAATTCAAAAGTATCAAAATTCTCTCGGATTCAGACTCACCATCTGGTCACTCACCAGCCTTGCTCACAGCATTTGAGACCTCTCAGTTGTCATTTAAATGTGTACGTATGTCCATATTTTGGCAATACTGAAGACAGAGGCCACCAATCCATGTTCAAATCTGGAGAAATTTACCCTTGAATGACCTCAGCTGCCTTTATATAATCTGGACTGTTTCACGTTGGTTTGCAAATTCTCACTCAGGCACTTGGTCTGTTGTGATGTTACTGAGCTGTTGTTTTGCATTCCTGTTGATCTGGTTTCAACTCTATCTTTAAGTTCAAAACAATTTGGTTTTGCGTCCTTCTTGACTGTTAGCTCACTGCCTGACATTTTGCACATTTTCAGTTATGAGTACTGCCTATTCTTTGTGTCTTGTTTGCTTGCGTATCTTCTAAGCAAGGCAATTTTGAATATAATGTATTTATTGAATGTAATGTATCTTAATGTATTTATTTAATTTAGTAAAAAATCTTGCTTCAACCCTGGTGAACTGCTAAATAATTTTTCAGTGAAATAGGTCCACAGCTTGGACTTTTTCTTTGATTAATTTATGTTTACTCACTCATATTATAACAAGGATTATGTTTTAGATATAGCTGATAATTATTATTACTATTATTATTATTATTATTAATAATAATAATAATAATAATAATAGTTCCTTTTTATGCAATATGTGCTATATATATTCAGGTCCGGAAGTATTTGGACAATGGCAGAGTTTTTGTGATTTTGCCTTTATACACCACCACAATGGATTTGAAATAAAACAATAAAGATGTGATCAAAGTGTAGACTTTCAGCTTTATTTTAAGAGGTTCCACAAAAATATGGCATTTACCATTTAGGAATTACAGCCATTTGAAGCAAAGTACTTCCATTTTCAGGGGCCATCAAAGGTATTGATAGGTATTGAAAGGTATTGAAAACTGATAGGACGCCGCTTCACAGTGCAGGTGGATAATGACCCTAAACATACTGCGAAAGCAACTCAAGACTTTTTGAAGGCAAAGAAATGGAATATTCTTCAATGGCCAAGTCAGTCGCCTGATCTCACCCCAATAGAGCATGCTTTTCACTTACTGAAGACAAGACTGAAGGCAGAAAGACCCATAAACAAGCAGCAACTGAATGTGGCTGCAGTGAAGGCCTGGCAAAGCATCTCCAGGGAGGAAACTCAGAATTTGAGTTTTGAGAACATGGGCTCCAGACTTCAGGCAGTCACTGACTGCAAAGGATTTTCATCCAAGTATTAAAATTATAGTTATATTTACAATTATGTCACTTTGTCCAAATACCTTTGAGCCCCTGAAAATGGAGGTACTTTGCTGAAAATGGCGGTAATTCCTAAATGGTAAATGCCATATTTTTGTGGAACCTCTTAAAATAAAGCTGAAAGTCTACACTTCAATCACATCTTGATTATTTTATTTCAAATCCATTGTGGTGGTGTATAAAGGCAAAATCACAAAAAATCTGTCATTGTCCAAATACTTCCGGACCTGACTATATATATATATATATATATATATATATATATATATATATATATATATATATATATATATATATATATATATATATATATATATATATATATATATAT